CCTCGCGGTCCGCCCCGGCCCAGCGGTCCCAGCCGCGTCGGCAGGGCAGTGGGGCACCCGCTCTGAGCGCCCCACAACGACCTCCAGCGCGCGCGGACAGCCGACGCACCGCGGGCCGCTGCCACTGCCGCTGAGGACCAGTGGACTGCACCACCCTCCACGCGCCTGTCCAGCCCGCCAGCCAATCGCAACGCCTCCTCACGCACGTGACATACACCGACCAATGGATGCCCGAGGTGCCCATGAGGCACAGGCGGCCCTCGGGGCTTTCAGATGGGCGCGGGCTGTCGAGGGACCGCACAAGGACCGCGAGGGGACTGAGAAGCTGTGAGGCTCGCGTGGAGGCCTACTCCCCGTGGTCCCAGGATGGAGACTGCCTGGAAAGGAGGAGGCGGAGTAAGCAGCGTCCTGCAGCCTCGGGGCCAGTGCCACGCGAGCGTGCCTGTCACCCAGCAGCTTCCCACTCTTCCCCGCCTGGTGCTCTCAGACCAGCTCTTCGAACCTCCTGGTTTTCAGCTGGCCCCAGGTATTCCAGAGAAGTGAGACTTGTTAAAGAAGGTCATGATGTCTAAAGCCTAGAATAACGAACAAACATTATGAAGATAAATCACTGCCTTGTAGCTCAGGGCACAGGTCCCATGTTGTATGCCAATCCAAAAATATGGTCACATCAGAACACCAGCACGGTAATTTTGGGAAAACATTATTGTACCTAGTAGAGTAAGAGGACTGAAGACGTTGCTTTCGTATTAGTCTCACTATTCAAGGGAGAACTGTGCCCATTCTTGGGGATTTTAACAAATAATGGAATTGGTTTTATGGTACACTTGTGCAATGTTAAATTTAAACAGTGTGAGTGACAAGTGACACCGTGCTCTGCCCACAGTCTATGAGAATCCAAACAAATGGACAGACTATTTGAACACGTAACTATACGGATAGTTTGGGGACTCAGGGGAAGAGCAGCCAATCTAGAGGGAAAGAGGAAAAATGAGACTTGTTAGAGAAGACTGTCTAAAGAGGTGGTCACTGAATTGATTCTTGGAAGTTATGCTTGAGAAGGTCAAGCAAAGTAAGGGGAATAGTGGTCTTAGCAAAGTGGTCAGTAATATGAAGAAAAGGTAGAAGAACACAGTGAAGAGATCAGCAGTTTCCTGTTGTGACATATATTGCTGTGTCAGGGGTTTTGTATCCTTTGGCCCCAGCACCCATTCTACCCTTGACTAGGAGGGAATGATTTCCTCTCCTTGTGTATAGTCTTGGTGTGTCATTATTAAAATGCCTGGTGCTGGCCCAAGCTTGGATTGATTTGTGACTCTAGGCCAACTGGATTATCTGCCAAGAGTGAGAGAGAAGGCAGTGTTACAGGAAGTTCAAGAAAAAGTGTTTAAACATCTCCACTCGAGTGGGGGTGAGAGCGTTGACTTTGAATCCATAAAAGGAGTATTCTGAGATTGGATGGAACGCACAGTCTACACTTAGAGGTCAGATGTGTGACATTTCTTTTGGCAAATCAATACCTTGGAGTCTACTTTCTTCATTTTTACATGTTACAGCTGGCTGTAAATACTATATTTCAGTTATTTGAAAAAGATACTGTATATTAATGGTATCATATTTCATAACCCAAAACTAAATGCCTAGTATTTGCAATGAGCACTGTTTTGGGAAATCCAGATGATGTAGACTTCTGTTCTCTACTACACCTTGGATGGGTATTCCCACCCAACAATTCAATAATATGTGCAAAAATTTTATCCATTTTACTATGATTTTATGTTTATGTTACATGCTTCTTGGATTTTTAATTCTTTCTTAGGGAAGCCCTCACACTAAATCCATATAAACATCTTCCCAACATTTCTTCTAATATTTCTTTAATATTTTTAAACCTTTACTCTATTTGTAATTTGTTTATACATTGATATTGATTTCATAATTAGACTTTTAATTTACTTTTTTTGTTTGTTTATTTTGTTATGAGACAGGATCTTGCTATGTAGTTTAGCCTGGCCTTGAACTCACTACGTAGCCCAGGTTGACCTCAAACTCATGGCACTCCTCCTGCCTCAGCCTCCTGAGTGCTGGCATTACAGGCATGTGCCACTATGCCCAGCTTTGCTTTTAAAAATTAAATCTATTTTAGCTATTCATAAATAACTATAAATTAATAGCATAATGTGATTTTTCATTCTTGTATACTACGTGTAATGTTTAAATCTGGTTAAATATACCTCATTTATCATTTGTTTACAGTAAAAATTTTCTAAGCACTCTTCTATCTGCTTAAAATGTACCATACAGTATTGTTATCTAAAATACCTCACTAGTAGTAGCTCCTGTCTAATCGTAACTTAGTACCCAGACCCAAACAGTATTGTTAAATGTTTATATTGTACTGTATCAATACCTGATTATTACTTAGATATTACACAGCTTTGTATAACAGTCCACCATAAACTTAATGGTTTAAAGCACCACACATGCTCTCTCACAGTTTTGGGGGCCATATATCCTATCACAGCTTCCTTTTTCTTTTTTTGAACCAGGGATCAAACTCAGGACCTTCCACTTGCCAGGCAGGTGCTTGGGCCACTGAGCTGTATCCCTGGCCCTTTTTTCTTTTATGGCCTGGTGAAAATTGTATTTTGATTTCTGTTTTAAGGCAGGCTCTGTGCCACTGAGCTGTATCCCCAGCCCAAAAGACTGCTTGGCATTCAATTCTAGTTTCTTTTTTTATTTTTGGTACCAGAAATCGAACTCATGACCTTGAGCTTGCCAGGCAGGCTCTGTGCCGCTAAGCTATATCCCTAGCCTGATTCTAAGATCTTTTAAACAGTATTTTCATAAGGACTGAAAGAAAACAGTGCACTGGAATGCATCTTCATCTGAGAAAATAGAAGGTGGACAAAACAGTATTCAGTCTAATAATGTTAGCTGATGCCCTCTATGGATCTTATAGAAAAATTCTTCATGAAAATAACTCATATTTAGGGCCCCAGCTGTGTATATGTTGGGAAGATGAGGAATTTCTGACTCCTGACTCCCAAAGGCCCCCAACTCACCTGGGGGATGGAGGCAGCAGGTGGAGGGAAGGATGCACGTCAAGGTCCCAGGCCCTTTGCAGAGCTCAGAGAACTGGAGGAAGGAGGTACAGTGCCTGCCCTCTCTAAGCAGGGACGATGTACACAGTCATAAGCAGTGACTACAGGGTGATCCCTAAAGCCCAGCCAGAGGGAGTTTCATTGGAAGACTTAAAGTCAGGGCTGGGATTTGCAGCTAAGTGGTTTTCCAGGCAATGCAAGCAGGCCCCAGAGCAGCCCAGACAAGACGCCACACATGGAAGGGGGCCGTGAGACTGACAGTGCGGATCGCGCTTGCTGGGTCTTCAGTATATGGGAGCTGTCCGTGAGTAGATTACTACTGGAGCATCTGGAATGGTGACACTGGAGAGACTTGTAAAAGGATACCCCTGTGCTTAACCCCTTTGAGCATCTGTCAGATGTCACTTCTTCAATTTTACAACCATGTAATCAATATCTACTCGTCCTTTCATCTTGTGCATAGCCCATCTGAAGGGTAGTATTACTGAACTTTCCTTCCTGGAGTTAGAATGATCTTGTTTTAGAAAAAAATTTAATGATATATCAAAGGTACCCTTCTCAACAACTACCTGATTTCCCCTTATCCCACCTGCCTGTTAGGCTGTCCTGAGGATTAAGAATCACTTGTTCGAAATCTAGACTTAATGTGAGTTATAAAATTGTAGTAATTGCCAAAATAATTACTGTTCTGTGAACTCCCTGAAGATAGGAGTCCTACTGTTCACATCTGAATGTTACCTACAGCACTCAGCAGTTTCCTGCAGTGCTGAATTAGATTTAATTGGAGATCAATTGAACTTAGCATGCAAGCAAAAAAGCAGCAGAGATTATATTAAAACCTTCCTGGAGGGTTTTTGCATTTGTGTGACCAGGATGACTTCAGCACACAGAGTTACCATGGCATACTTCGGAGGATGCCATGTTTTGGGCCTTATTCCTGGAGAAAGTCACTGAGCTGCCAGGGAGCATCTGCCCAAGGGAATCTGTCCCCACACTAGTGGGGAGCTGTTCCCATCAGGTGCTGGAGACTTGGTTACAGTTACTGTAGATGCCTGCTCTGAGAGGTGATGGCTATGTGATATGGGCAGTTTTGAGTGTGACACTAAAGAATTAGTAAGTAGTCTGTAAGCACTGCCAATCTGCCACTATGCAGAGGAAAAGACCAGACAAGATGGAGACTTCATTGGTAGTTGTTGTATTGGGTTAAATAACCCTTAGTTATGGTGGACTGATTAGGCCTGCAATCTCCCAAGCCAGTGGATGGTGAAGACTTAAATAAATGAGGCAATTGACATGATTTCAGGGCTCCAGGAGGGTCTCACTCTCTTACAGCTTTTTTTTTGTTTGTTTTTTTGTTTTTGTTTTTTTCTGGTACCGGGAATTGAACTCACAACCTTGCACTTGCCAGGCAGGTGCTGTGCCGCTGAGCTAAACCCCCAGCCCCTCTCTTACAGCTTTGATATTCTCTGAATTTAGATGAAGACTTCTCTTGGAAGCCTGTATTTATTTGGTTTACAAACAAGGGAGGAGGATACTGAAGAAAATGCAGGAATCTGGGCAGGATTTGGGAATGCCTTTAAGGACTTCTCCAAGTACAATCTCCTTAAAGTTAAAAGGGGTTGGAGCCAGACATCCTCAGCTGTGGCCTTATCTTGTCCTTTGAGGTGTCACAGTTTCACAGGCCAATACAGGCCTCAAGGTGAACAGTGACTCACAGAGGTTTACTTATATGAGTCCACTGCCCATCCGCAAACAAGGTGCCTAAGCTTTGGACAACTCACAGATAAACATGGAAAGCCAATTGGTTAATATTAAATCCTGCTCAGAGCCACTTTGTAGTGGTCTCCAACAGTTGTGGGTTCATCTTTCTTTTATTTATTGTTGATGCGAAGGATTATTTTTATTTATTTTTCTTCCCTCCTAAAATCCTTTGAGTCTGGAAGAAAGCTTACAGGTTATCTATTTCTCTATATTTAGCCTAACGCTGTTATTCATTGAAAAAATGCATACTGAATACCTACTATGACTCAGAATTGGACTGGCCTCCAGGTTTGACCTGTAAGTAGTATCAACATGACTCCATGTCCTTAAAATCTAGAAGTTAGAAATTTTAGGAATATCAAATATTATGGTGGCCAAACATAAGATACTGTGGGAGTGTATGCTCAGGGAAGATACCTTGTCCAGGAGGTGAGATTCTCCAAGGAAATAATATCTTAGGTGATAACTGAAGGTCAATGTGAGTTAGTGAGGGGATGGAAGAACAGGAGGGTGGGAGAGATATTGGGCCAAAGTTATAACTACAGATGTAAACTAGTTCTTACTCAATTGAAAAACAAAGACTGAGTTTCTAAAAGTAAAAAAGCAAGCATATTCTAATTGGAGAAAGCACCTGTGAGATTTCAGGTTTGGCCAACCTCAT